AGCAGATTTCATCCAATCTGGAAACGGTTGAAAAAACATCAAACAACATTTAGGGACCTCTGTTTTTTAAATGGAAACTGCTAAAACCCAATGCTTTGGGAATGAAAGATGAAACAAAGGACAATTATGCAATTGACAAGAGCCACTATCCCAACATGTTTGTGACCTGGTACACACCTGGTTTGAATCAACGGATGATTAGGAGACTTCTGTAGAACTTGAGCATCTACAGACATTTGAATCAGGTGTGTTGGTGCAGGAAAACAACTGAAACAGCACTGGTCTGCACAATGTCCACCATTCAGTTTTGAATGAAACCATTAGAAATTATGGTTAAAGTTCATCTAACCTACTTAAACAAGAGTGCATGGTGACGTTACACCAGCAACATTGGAGTCAGATGTGAGCCAAACCCAAAGCAATGTTAACTAAATCAGTTATGATGATGTAGTTAACAATAGGGCTGGGACGATAATTAATAAATCAATTAATCATACAATAGATAAAAATGAGCTCAATTTTTCCAGCCCCGATATGTGAGGTTAAGAAATCTACACCTCTATTATTATTATTTATTATCGTTATTGAAGTGCAGTTTTGGTTGTTGACACTGGATAGGCCATTGTATTTATTGTTTTGAAGAGACAGGGTCTATTTTATTGTTTATAGTGCAATATTTTCTAACAGAGTGAAAGTCTTTATTTTTTGTTTGTTTGTTTTATTTAGAAGTTCTGGTTCTGGGCATTCCAGTGTTAAAGGTTCAACTGTTGCATTTTAAAGGGTGTACTTGCATTATTATGATGTATTAACATTACACAAGTGGTTATTTTGGTCTCGATAATGTCGACAATAATATAATTTATCATCAATAATTTGTTGGACAATGTAACGTCCAACAAAATTTGTTATCATCCCAGTCCTAGTTAACAACCATAACCAATTCTGGTTGGTATTTAATGAGGTTTAAATAATTGTGTGGTGATAATATTTCCTGTGAAACAGAATTTCTGCATCAGTTTGAAGATATGAACAAACAAGAACTATTAAATGTTTACTTGTTAGATTGGGCTGTTTATGTGGAAAATTACACACACACACACACACACACACACACACACACACACACACACACACGCACACACACACACGCACACACGCGCACACGCACACGCGCACACGCACACACACACACACACAAAATCGTATTTGACTCTGTCTCTTTGAATCCCTTCGTCCAGAAAAGCAAAGAGCGCTCAGAGGTTTATTTCTGACTCACTCACTTCAAGACTAGATTCAGTCAGGCATCACTGATGAAATACTCACACAAACAAGCACACTAAAGGCTAGTTAATAGATTTTTGTTTAAATCCTGATGATGCAAACCATGCTACCTGATTTGTTTCTGAGTACATCTGAACCTCAGATTTGACTCAGTGTTGAACACACAACATTTTTAAGATTATTCATTGCAGAAAAACAAACATCAACTCGTTTCTTCAAGTACATGAAAGTGTGAGGAGCCATAATTTATATAAAACTTGTTGCCATAGCAGCAAAGCCTCTGTGCTACCTTCTTGTTGAAACAGCCACAACAATGGAAAGCCAGCCTTTCAAAAAGTATAACTTAAAGAATTACAACTTCTAAAAGGAAAAAGAAACGGGAGTGGTATCCTCACAGAGGCTGAACAATAAAAACTGCAAAGCAGCTTTGTGGGATTAAAAATTACAGCAAGAAGTCAAATAATGCTGGCAGCCAACACGTCCTCCATCACAAATCATGAAATTCAGAGCCACAAGAGAGCTGCAATCAATGACCGACTTACTGACTATGCATGAAATCCCAGCAAACGCCGATGTCTCAGAAACAATGACTTGCTGCACCGATGGGAGCCATTACCAGAAGGTTCCTAGCTTTCTTCAAATCATACACCATAGGATTATAATTGCTGCCTAGTTGTGCACAGATTTATATATAAAAAGAACAAAAATAATTTAGTTATGATGAGTCAAAAAACCTCTGGATGTTTCAGGAGAGCTCCTTTTGAGGTTTTAAGGTTGACATTTATTTGTGAATGCCTCTGTGGTCAGTGTGAGCAGATGGTCTGAACATCATCAGCGGCGTTAACAAGGCACTGGAGATGTGAGGCTCAGATGGGGACTAGTGCCATCCAGTATTGTCCCGGTTGGTTTAAGTTTACCAAAAAATACCATTTATCTCTTGCCTGGTGAACTAGACCAAATTCTTGCTTTGCAAAGTTTGGTCGAGAACGCTCCATTGGAACCTCTGCAGCCCATAGCAGCATCCTGGCTAGCCAATCACAGCTCTCTATAGGAGTTTCCTCTATTCGTCTGTGGACGGGATGAGGCAGCAGAGTGGAACAAGATGGCTACAGCTAATTTGAAATGGCTTTTACATCAATTAAGGACTATTTGGACTTGGGCTTTATCAGAATCAGGAGCAGAAATATGTATTTAAGGCCTTTATTTAGAAAAAAGGATGTATTTTCTCCTTCTTCAACAGCGGACTGCCTCGTTTATCAACATCCGTTGTGGTGAGTCACGTTGTTCATTGTCCAATAGCATGTGGAGATCTTTAGACAACGGTAGAACCTGACCCACAACCGAGAGCCGTCAATGGAGCGCTGCCAGACTAAATAATATATTTACTTTGTCTGGCTTGCCAGGCTAATTTATCTCAACTTTAAACTAAATATAACACATTTACAGCCAAATTAAACACACATATTGCCCAAAACCCTAGCACAGATGGTACTGAACATTTCTTTAATATTTTATACGATTATCTTTAAACCCATGACAAACCAAAATGTGCTTTAACCACTAAAACTCAACTATGTAACACTGGGAGGCAATCAAAATGGCCTTAAATGAAACTATTTTTATCCTGGTAATGGACAATGTAATAAATTGTAATGTAATAATACATACAGATATGTATGTACAGAAAATAATACATATAGATGTAATAAATCATCCAAACATCCAAAACTGGATTTTAAATTGGGGAATTATGCCCACAAACGAAAACAAGTTCTACATTCGGCTCTCCATTCCAATAATTTTTCCAATTATTGATTTTTAAATTGAATTTCTATTTTTTGTCTTTTATTTTTGTAAAAAAGTAAAACCCTCAAAGAAACAAATGAGTGAATTGTGAAAGATTTCAACAGCTTACAAATTTGATCCGTCACCAGTATAGATTTTCCATATGCAACACACAATGGGTGATTAAATGCTGCAAGTGAAGCAGAAACCCACCAGTACTTTTACACACCTGCATCCAAGATCTGAGCAATATTGATATTATTGTAATATAGAAAATATGTAAAAAGGTGGTTCCCAATCTGGGGTCCCCATAACTTTGTGCTTAGGTTGTGAAGTTACCAAGATTTTACTTGTAAAAATTATATTTAAAAAATCCATTAACATACCCAATAGTGAAATCAAAACTGTGTGAGAGCAATAACTCTATGTCTGTATAAAGTTTGTAATCATTCACTTTTAATTGTGTGCAAGTGGGTAGGAGTTGGGGTTAGGGTGGGGGGCTGGCTTGTCTTGGACACAGGAAAGGTGGTGCCCTATCACAAAATAATGGATTCTATTTAAAAAAATTATATATATAATATATGTGTGTGTGTGTGTGTGTGTGTGTGTGTGTGTGTGTGTGTGTGTGTGTGTGTGTGTGTGTGTGTGTGTGTGTGTATTTGTTATTATTGTTTTTAATAGAGCCAGTGTCTATTAGGACTAGAAATCTAGTAACCCACATCTCTATTTATATTTTCTGAATTGAAACACAGCTGCAGCTGTTACACTAGTGTTTAATCCTAAGAGAGCACAGCAGGCCACATGAAGTCCCTCCATACCTTAGTTAGCTGAGCGATCTTCTTGCTCATCTTCAGGTGGAGGTCCGGGGTGTATTCCATGCTGATGCCCGACTGAAAGGATGCGGTGGACGCCGCGGAGGAATTAAATTTCCCCTGACCGACAGGGCAGTAATGCTGCTGCTGCCAACCCGAGCCCGTCGCCATCTTCACTGATGCTTCAGAGATGCCAGCGACTGGGGAGCGGACGGTGCTAGCTGTCTTGCCCGAGCGGTGCAGAGGGAGGACCGGGGACGGTGTCCGGTACTCACGGAGAAGCGTGAAAGGGTTAATGAAAAATAGGAAGCCGTTTTACCCCAAAGGACTGTTGGAATCCGGTTTCATGTTGCTCGTTCCTTCTTAATAACACACAAACTCGGAGTTTTCCAGGGATTTTTTTTTGTTAGAATTTTAAACCCAACAAATTTAAGCTAGCACCATGTCCTCCGTTTGAATTGTGTCCGTCCTGGCGTTCCCTGGTGCGGGCACCGACGGCTGTCACCTGGCGCCGATGATGAGGAACTGATTTCGGCTAGGCTGGCTCTCCGGTGGGTCACCTTGGTACCGGAACGTTATCAACGGGAGCCATTAAAGGTGATTCGTCTCCGGTACATTCCGGCTTCACCGAGGGAAGAGCGCGAGGGTCAGTGCGCGTGAGGATCAGAGAGTGGAGGCTGCTCTTCTGTTGCCATGGATCACCTCAACAGTTGATGCTGCATTCACGTAAGGTGGGAGCAGCGCTGCCTTCAGGGACCGTAGGACACAAGAATGACGATCTGACAATAAGACAAGAAGGATGAAAAAACGCACATGAATCATTGTATGTTTAATTACATTCACAAAAAACGGAAAACATTTGTTTTTCTTTTTTCTACTGACTAATTATGGTGCTAAAACATTTCTTTGGTGTTCCTTATCAGTTTTAGGTATGATAAATAGGCAACGTGCAACATTTAGCTAAATATATATATATATTTGTTTAATTAGACCCATGTGCTGATGTCCTATGCATGAGGTATTCAATTCCGGTTCCGGAAGGCCGGTATCCAGCACATTTTAGTGGTTTCTCTGCTCTAACACACTTGATTCAGTGGTTGAACCCGTGCCCCAGCTCATCAGGCTCCCCGTGCAGAAGCTCATCAGGCTCTGCAGAAGAATTGCCTGCTGATTGAAATCAGGTGTGTCGAAACTAAAACATGCTGGATACCGGCTCTCCAGGCCCATAACTGAATACCCCTGTCCTATGCTAACCACGATTCATTGCAAGAATTGACAGCTGAGAAGAGGCCTGAAGAAAGACCGAGGACATGCTGGGGGGGACTATGTTTGTCAGCTGGCCTGGGAACACCTTAGGATTCCCTCGGAGGAGCTGGTACAAGTGGCTGGGGAGAAGGAAGTCTGGGGCACTCTGCTTAGGCTGCTGCCCTCGCGACCTGACCCTGGATAAGCGGAAGAGATAAGAAGTAAATGAATGGATGGATTTTCTGTGTTTCAAATGCCAACTAATCTTGTGGATTTTAAAATTAACAACCCGTGTATCTATGAACATGTCCTGAAGTTAGCTGCAGGTAAACCCCTAAACATTCTTAGAGTTCTACCCATTTAAAACAGGCATTCCTGATAAACTGAAGGAATGTAAATTTCTAAAACTGTTACATGAACTATTTTACCAACAAGGATGAGGGATCACACAGCATGCTGATCTTCCTTGTCTGCTGCTGCTGCAGTGGTCCACATGTTGACTGTGACCGGTGTGTTTGCACCTCCAAAAACTGGCGCAGACATGGCTGCCATGGTCATGTAGCACATCTGCGCTAAGGTGAAGGCTGAACAAAAGAAGCACCCCTCATGGCCACCTAAAGTATTTTTAAGCTAAATTTTTATACATTTTTCCAAAAACAGCACCTCCTATTATGGTTTTCCACACATTACTCCAGTGGATCCACATGTACCTTGCTTTGTTGATGTATGCTCAGATTTTTAATGTTCTTATTTGGTTAGTTGTAATTAATTGACGCTTTAAAAAACACCATAATTGTGTTTAGAGGAGTAAGTGAGACCATGCCAGAACAGAATAGATGATGTCTAGTTATGTGCCTAAGTAGTGTTATTGTGAAATCCAAGTAATTATTGGGTATCATGAGAAAACAAATTTCTTTAGGCGTGTGATGCTTTTTTTTATTCTATCTTAGACATTATTAAATAATAATCACAGTTTCAGTTTTCATCCTGGTTAGTTTAACAGCTGAGGTGAAATGTATTTTCCAAAGAGGAGTTCATATGAGGCACGTGGTTCTTCAGTGGAACATGAATGCATCAAGTTGGATTCCAGTGACGTCACTTCATCTATCAAAGCATAAGGGGAGGAAAAATAAAAATTCAAACTGACTGGAACAGCAGCTGCAGGCCGTATCTCACACAGCCGTAATCGCGGCGATGACGCAAACGGTTTGTCTTCTGCTTCCTATTTATGGATCCAGATGATTTTTGGAACACCGTGGGTTTTCACTGGATGTGCTTCAGGTTGTGTGTTCTGAGATGTGTTTCCAAGTGACACCGAATTTATCAATGAGATATACGGAGTTAGAATAAGAACACTGCACAGTGACACTTCTATTGCAATTATCAGCTGATTTCCCTCTTTCCTTTTCACTCTCTCTCTTTCTTTACATTTTTAATCACACTCCTCTTCACAGATGATATAAAGCTGTACGCCAAGAGCAAGTGAGACATCGACTCACTGATCCACACCACCAGGATCTACAACACTGATTTCGGAATGTCATTCGGACTTGAGAAGTGTGGTCGGATGGTGACAAAGAAAGGGAAGGTAGTCCACACAGAAGAGGTCTCGCTCCAAGATGGAAAAATATTGAGGACATTGAGGACAGCTACAAGTACCTTGGTATTCCACAAGCAAATGGCAACCTCGTCCCCAAGGCACTTTGCATTGACTATTGTAACATGAGGAAATATGGGTTTTCTGTGCCAAAGGTTGTATTTTGCCCGGCTGGGTCAGAGCTGGGTCGCTCAGAACTTTAACCCACAGATTGAGACCTTTGCCGACATGAAGTCTGCAAGAGTCTGCTGCAAACCTTAACATCTGCCACCTGCAGTGCCAGAAGAGGTTGTTCTCATGGAAGCTAGTCATAACATAACAAAGTCTTAAACTTCCTTTTCTTTATTTTAAATGTTAAATAATCATTATTATCACTTTGCTCATTATAAATGTGTTTTAATCAAATGAATAGTTATTATGCTTTGGGTAATCATAATAACTATAATGAAGCAATGCTTAATTAAATAATGTTTTGAAGATGTTTTAGTGGTGACCTTCACACTCAAACACTCACACACACACACACACACTCACAGTAAATGGCACTTAATGGCAGTAAGTGGGCGTGGTGAGGGCGGGATGTGACTAAAAAGCAGCTGAGAAACATTCTAGATAGTTTCTGGTTCATGAAGCGGAGATTGCATGCAGCTGTGCGTTCTCCATGTTTGATAGATCACAAACCTACTTGGCGTAAGTACTTTTTTTTTTTTTTGCTGAGCTTCAGTACGGTTTTAGTAAGGATTCTACGCAATGTTTGATAAATGAGACCCCTGGTATATATATATATATATATATATATATAACCTTGTAGGTATTAGCAATAATGTGAAATAATAAACATAATTAAACAGCAAACATCAGTAAAACAATCAAAATTGTACTGTATATTTTTGACTCTAATGGATATGTACATCTCAAATATTTCTTTGACAATCTAAAAAAACTGAGTCAAATATATTTATTCTTTGATGAGAAAAAATGAAATAAATACAAGAGTTTACAAACAACATAAAAATAAAATACAGATCTCGGTTGTAATGAAATAATAAATTATGTTTTTTGAACAATATCACTGATCGAACCAAATTATTTGTTTCTAGCTGTTTGATGGTTTCGATACAAGTAAAATAATTAGAATGTTATCAGTCAGGCTAGATTAAGCCACATTCATCTATTTGATATTTGTTCATGACACATTTTACTGCAGAATTATCGAAGGGGTTCCACAGAGTTGAGTGTTTGGTCCTTTATGTTTCAATGCTTCCATCAGTAATTTTATTCATTGTAATACATTTTTAATTTAGTTTCGATTTCATCAATTTTCAACCATAATACTAGATTGTGCTCTACAAAAAGCTAGAGTATCTCATAAATTTGTACACTGTGGTTATTAGGAGACTTGCAATTTTCATGTCAAAAGTGATTTTTTATCCAGTAGCTGTCCTGTTTTATTCTGACTTCTATCCTGTGCTTGAGAATAATATCGTGATATGTGTATTCATGAGGAAATTAAGAGAAAATCCAATATGGTTTCCATCTAAAAAAGAAAGGGCCTACATTGTTTCACAGACCTTGCATTAGCTTAATTAACCAAAGCTAAAAATAAATCTGCTAGCAAAAGAAATAATTTAAGCTGCCAAATCCACAGCTGCATTTAGGAGATAAGAACCTTTACCTCCATCTGAAACTGAAGACACAGTTTTATGAGCGATTTTAGGTGGGTCTGCTTACAGATTATTGTAAATCATCGAGAAGCTGTGGCACCACTAAGCAGCTTAAACCAAGAGGTCACTTATACATTTTACATTCTTTCAATTTGTTTCTGCAAAGACAACAGTCACAGTTATTGTTTCCCAAACAATTAGCTGAACATTAATATTTATCACTTGATAACCCAAAACTGCTGTAAGGGGAAACCGTCATCTCAGTTTTCATGATTTTAAGCCTCGACTCGAGTTCAAAGAAGCTTAAATCCAGAAGAGATGGGTTCATTTCTGTCCTGTCTTTGTCTCGCTGTTGTTGGAGCTTCAGTCAGTCATTAAAACAGACTGGAGTGTGATGTAACAGGTTAATGATGAAAGCACCACTAAGCATTCATTACGATGTTCCTTTAATATCAAACAAAACAAGAAAAAAAATCCTCAAGGTACATCAATAAAGAGATTAAGCTTCCAGGCAGAAAAATATGTATCACACAGTACAAGGTTAGCACATCTTAAGCTGTTAGTTTACATGCTAATGCCTACAGCAGCGGCATCAATAAGCTCTGCAAATCCTCTGCATCTACATTCATTTATCACGAAAAGCCTCCAGTCATTAAGGAATAATTCACTCAGGGACAAAGGGAGGTGACAACTTGATGGGTTATTGGGCCAAAAGGATTTCTTTAAGAAAGAATTGATTTGAAAGATTCCCATTTTCCTCCATGTACAAGTTATGTGACCCTTGCAGTCATCTAGCTCCCTCTTGTGGCTGGTGTCAGTACAAGTTTTAAGTCCCGCCCCCTCCATGCAAAATACACCTCAGATAATATAGGTGTTGACTCACAGCTTTTAAAGATGCTATCTGGAGTTTTCCCCTTTCAGAAAATTATGTAGGATTTTTCAGGAAATCCATTAAAGTGATTGTCCTATCACACAATGTGATGTAATGTAGGAAATACATCTTTTTAAAAAATAAGTCCGCCCCCTGTCCAACAACTGAGCGCCGGTCAGCACTAACCAATAGCGTTACATTACCGCTTACATACAGACGTCAATCACAGAGCGTGTTTGAGCAATTAAGACGTACTCCGGTTGATGAAGTCTTGGCAACCTTTCTCATGGACAAGTAAGTCTTTAAAATACAAATATATGACATCACAACGTAACGTGAGCTTAATAACTGTACAACAACGTGTTTCAGCGCGTTCATGATCAAGAGGCGTTTCTTTCGTCTGTAAATACGGAAATGAAACAATGACGTGGTGTGATGCACTAATAAGCCACTAGATGGAGCCAGTTGATAAAATAAATAATCCAGACATCTGCTTTAAAGGGACACTTGACAACGTTTTAATAATTTTAAATCATTATCTTGAGCCAGTGGCCCAATCCCAATACTCACACTGCGCCCTATGGTCTTCTGTGAAGTGCACTTGGAGGAACTACGCAGTAGGGCTTCGAGTGTGTGGTGCACAAGTGTGCAAATAATTGCGGAACTGAGACAGGGAGCATTGTGTAATCGGCCACAATGCATACTGAGATGTTGGTCGCTGTGCTATAAAAAAACTTTATTAACAACTTTCACACATATAACCAATTATTTGAAATAAATTAACATTCATTTCTGCTTTGTCTAAAAGTTTCAGAGCATCAACTAATCGCCCTGAAATGAAGTACTTTCATGAAATTATTTCTTTTGACGGCAGATTTATTTTCGCATCGATGGATGAAGTGTGGATCAAGGGTGCAAAAAGAGGGCGTGATCAATTTCCGCACTTCGAGAAACCCTAAGTGTGGAAATGTGAGTATTGGGATTGGGCCACCATGTGCTAAAATGACCTTTTACAGGGTTAATGAAAGGCCACCAAGCCTCTATCGCCCCCTGTGGCCAAAATAATCAACTCAGAATAGCGGGACTTAAAATAAATGTAGCTGACATACCCAGCGCTTAAGTCTGCTTCGAGCACGTTTCCACACCTTCAGTTCAAAAGCAAACAAGACACTGTTATGCTTTTCTGATTTTCTGTGCTTCTACAATTTCACCACGCCCCTGGCTCATAACCCATTTGTCAAAACAGCATACAGCTAGCGCAACAATGACGCTATTTGGGGCTGGAGCGGGCCTTAAATGCTACAACTCTGGTAGCCTTTGCACACTAATAGACTCAACAGAAATGGAACTGCGCCTAGTTTTCTGGCAGCTTTCTGTGCCGCGTGTCAGACGCCGCTCTTTAATCCCACGTTTCCTGACTGCGTCTTCGCCATCACCTGTCCATTAATGACGAGCCTGACAAGTGCCGGAGTGAGAGTGTCTGACACCTTTTCTCCTAATCATTTTGCAACTGAGTTCGTTTTCTGTGAAAGTGACAAACGCAGAGAAACCCATGCTGGATTCAAACTGTAGCTGCTGCTGAGCAAATTAGAAAACGGACTTTGATTTTGGCTCTTCCCAGCAGAGAGATATATTTGGAAGTGCTGACATGTTTCTGGTTGTCGGTATTTATTATCTTTGTTGACAGTTTCTGGTTTGGATGAAGGATCATTTACATATTCAGAAATGGGGAAACTCGGCTTTTTCTCTGCAATAACAGAAAAAGAGGTTAGATGGTTTTATTCTCATTGGCTTTTGAGGTCGTAATTAATTTTGCAAGCATTAATTGATTAATTAAGAATTCTCAAACTTAGGGTTTTCATGACCAAAGGCAGGATGAAGCTAGAGGTAGACTGACACATGGAGAGTTTTTCTTCTGTAATTAAAGGGCAAAACTTTAGACTTGTTATGTGACCTTCACCTGCAGTCAGGAGATTGGATCATGACACAAGAAGCTGAAATGAGCATCCATCCTAGGGTAGAGCTGCTGCTCCTCCTCATCGAAAAGAATCAGCTGAGGTTTGGCCGTTGCTTCCTTCTGGAGGTTTTCCTCACACTGGGAGGAGACCCAGAACTCACTAGAGGGATTACAAACATTCCCTGGTCTGGGAATGCCTCAGGATCTCCCAGGAGGAGATGGAGAGCATCCCTGGGATGAATGAAGTTTTCCTCCAGGATCTGTTACACGGATGGATATAATCAAACAGAGAGAAACATTTCTTGAAGGCGAACACGAATCAACACGATTAAATACATCCACTCTTGAATAAGTTTGCATCACTCCAGAAAGTTCAGCCACAAAAGTTCAAAACTGCTCTGCTTTTATCTTCTGCCAACAAAAAGTCCCACCCAGAGTCAGCATCTGGACACCGTGAGGGTCTGCACTTGTTTTCATTTCTGAAATGTTTCTGTGCCACAGGCTCAGCTCGCTTCATCTCCTTTAGTTTATTTATTTATGTTTATTTATTTGGCAGACACTTTTATCCAAATCGACTTACTTACGAGTTCTTAAGTCGTAGTGATGAGGCCTAATTGGTCCTTTTTATCCTGGAGGCTGATGACCTGAGCTCACCTCTGAATTTGCTTTAGAGAACTCTTCTCTTTGTGCTTAATGAAACTTTTACCTCGTAGAGCCCTCCCCGTATGAAGCGCGGTTGGGTCTTCTCCAGATATTTCATACAGAATTATTGAATGATCCAATCCTGATGTTTTGCAATCGCTCTGACGGCTAGTGTTTTTTCAGCTGCACAGCAACACATCTGGATCATTTTGCTGCATCGATGCGTTACAAGGTCTTAAAACTGCTTTCTGAACAACATTTCACTTTGTTTATTATTTAAATTCAGATCTGAGTTGGGCAGCAGCTACATTTTTACAGATTGCACCAGTAAAGTACCTGTGCA